GATGTGTCACATTTCTATCTCCCCAGCTTCAGCTGACCCAATGTTTGCTGTGACTCTTTTGCAGGCTTTATGGGAGCAGTCCCCTTTCCCACCTTCCCAGTGCCTGGCTTGAGCTTCCCAAGCCACTTGTGTGGAAGTGGGGCTGGAGGAGCACCTTGAGCAGACAGGCATGGCCTACCTGCCACATCCCTGTCCTTGCGGAGCCAAGCCAGATGGTCTTCAGGGTATCTGCAGAGTGCCAAAATGTAGTGATGTCATGGTTCTCCCCTCTGGAAAGGCATTTTTGAGGGAAAAAAACTTCATCTCTGGGGGAAAAAGGCCCAGACACAAAGCTGGTGTGGGTCTGCTAGGAATTGCAGCCACTTTGATGGATCATGTGGCCAAATGAAGGGCTATCTTACTCTTCATGCCCCATGGGGATGTGGGTGCAGGCAAGTGTTGGTGGAGCTGTCCCCATGTGCTAGAGGAGCACGGCAGACCTGCCCTCCTGGGGAGCCACTCTGAGCCAGAGCTACCTTTGGGACTGGCAATCATCATTTAATAGCTGTCTTTAAATTCCCACTCTGCCAGCCATCTATCTTCCCTGAGCAGGATAATATAGGAAGGCATTTATGCACTTGAATGATGGGCCACAGACCCTGCCAAGCATTTCCCTCTGCTCAGACTTGCCCAGCGTCACTCCAGGGATGAAGAGGTTTTGTCTTGCTTCCATGTCCTTCCTCTGCATGGTTATAGGTCTCCAGCCCACATGCCATGCCCTTAATAAACCAAGAAAACCTCCTGCACAGTACGAAAAGGAAGAGGCTGCTCCAGTCCCAGGTCTGATTGACGTGCCCGCTCTCCCATTGCACCGGGAGCTGCCGCAAGCACCATGTGTGGGTGCAAGGCTCTGGAGGCATTCCCAGAGGTGGGGGGCAGGCAGACGAGGTTTCCCACTTGTTTTTCAAGCAGTCTTTGTTAAAACTGGTCACGGCAGGCTGCACCTCCTGCTGCCCAGGCGGTTTTGCGGTTCATTGGGCGGGCAGCGAGCGCGGGGCCGGGAGGGTGAGCAGAGCCCTGTGTGCTGCACCCCCTGTGCAGAGCACACCCCTCTCAGTGTGCACCCAGATAAATGCACGGGCCTGCCTTCAACCTGCTCATTGTCTTTGGCAAAGTCCTCTGAGCTTGGGAGTCTAGGGCAGGCAGGTGGCCAAGAGTGACATGGCCATGGCTGAGCCATCCTGGCTCCTTTGGGCACCTCTTTGGGACGGTGGGATTTACTGCTGAAGGCACCTTGCAGTGCCAGTGCAGGGGCAGGAGGACTCTTCTGCATGCCAGAGGAAAGCAGGAATCAATCCAGTTTTCAACAGCCACGTATTTCCGTGTTGTCTTTCTAGTCTCAGGGCTGTTTCTTACATTCTTGGATAATGAAGTTTGGGGTTTGTTTTTCTTTTCTTTCAAGCTCGACAAAGCCAATTTGATGCACTTTGAAAAGAAATTGGAAACAGGCTTCTCTGCTTCAAATTCTGCCAAGGTTCAAGTGTCCTGGGAATACAATGTCAAGGATAACCCTCCCCCACCTCACCCCCAACTAGACTTAGAAAGTTTTATCTCCTAGCATCTAAGCTGCACAGCTCTCCGCTGTGCCTTTGGAGCCTGGCCTGTGCTGTATGTCTCTCTGATAAGTGAGAATATATATTATTTACTTATTGGCATCCTGGAACAAGTAGTACCTCTCTTAAGCCTTTTTATGGATTTTGCCTGCTGGGAAAAGGACCTAATTTCTGGCAAAGACATGCTGTACTGTCAGTATGTCAGCCTGGCAAAGCAGAGCTGTACGTATGGTTTGCATTTCGGGTTGAATCAAAGCCACAGCTTAAACTGCAGCATTTTTTTACAGCATGGGCTCAGAGAAAGGCTCTTTGGAAAACTATTTACCCAGGGCTTGTAAATACAGTATTATTTCTGCAATGTTTTATCACCTAGGTTATTATTAAATTTGCAATGTCAACCACCAGAAATAACAGAGAGACTGTACTTGCACCTTTTTTGTTTCTTTTTGTTGTTGATGTGGCAGGGAAACTCTGAGCAGCGCTGGGGAAAGGAGCCTGTGCTGGCCCTTGCCCAACTTCACAGCCCAGGGTTTCGAGTTCAGGGTGGAAGAGCAATGGGGCTCCAACTAGTGATGCCCAAACCCGAGCTCACTGACAAGGAAGACAAAGTGGGTTTGGACAATAATGATTCCTTAACCACTTGGACTGTAAACTGACTTGACATTAAAAAGCCAGCAATCGTTGCCATCCGTTTGGCATACTCTGTTCTCTGGCTGTGGGTTTAAAAAGATTTTTCCTGCAGTGCTTTGAAGGTTCTCCATGTGGCTCCCACATGCATTCCTCCCCCAGGATACTGGAAGTTTTGGCAGACAGGCTTTTTAGATACCCAGAGATGGTATAAGCAACCAGAGGGTTATTATCAGCTGGATAACAAAAACAATCACTCCGAAAATCCTCTGTGCTGAAGAATAGGGTTACAGGGGTTTTTGGTGAGAGTGGGATGGGCTGTGTCTCTCCAGAAGGGTGGGACAGGGGAGGTGCTGGGAAAACATGCCCAAGAAAGCACAGATTGGGAAGGGACTTGGCTCGATGCAGATGGGAATACTGAGACTTACAGTTAGCCCTATCCTCTGGGATTGATTCCATAGGTATCCCTGCTGTTAATTCAGCATACTTTGAGGCCAGAGGAACAGACTGTGAGGCACTTACAGTGATGATTAGAAAGGAGTGTGGGTATCAGGATACCAGGATCAGCCCTTTATATGCCACAGAGTTATTTTACTATGGTTAAACTAGGATTTAGACATTGCACCTCCCCTAAACTCGTTTGGGAGGCCAGACATGGATTGCAGGTGTTTGGAAAAGAATGTCTGCACTCTGCAGAATTTGCTTGAAATCTGGGACATGAAGGTTTTGACTTTGACAGGGTGTTGCCTGTGTCACTTGGCGTTGGCTGTGATTCTACAGCAAATCATTATCCCATTCAAGTAAGAGAGAGCTGGGATCACAACCAGCCTCTTGACAGAAGTCCTGCTGCCCCTCAGGGTGCTTAGGGGCGCTCACACTCATCCCCTCCCCAGAGAGGCACCTAAGACAATGATTTAGCCATGTAGTTTGATGCCTGGGACAGTTAATGCCAAGCCTTGAATAACCCTGCTGGTGATCTAGGACAGGACATCCCTCTCTGGATGGCCTCACCCTAGCCTAGGTCCTTTCCACTCTGGGAAGAGATAAAGCAGAGGTCCCCTGGCAGGTCCCAAAGACCCATACCAGGCAGCCCCTGGTTCCTGGCAGAGGCTGCTGTAAACCCTGTCTGAAAAAGAGCATTTATATTTTGCTGCGCTACATTGTGTTTCTGGGAGAGAAGCAATTAAGTGAAAGCTATAAAGCTGAGTCACTCCAGGTGCACCATCAGTAGCTCTTATAAACTGCATTAAGTCTGCTCAGTCCTTGAAAGGGAGGCACGGAAGGAACACCCCTATGGTTGGGGCCAGCGAGTTGGTGCCTGCTCTTACCCCCCTCGGCCGATGCAGTGTCTTTCAAGGGACGTGGCTCCTCACCAGGGGGCTGTCTGAAGCAGTCTCCCCAAGCTGAGGACATGAAGCCTGATGGATTTTAGGCTGGTGCTGTGTCAGCTCATAAGCTCATGCACTGGGGTTGCTCGTGGCAGCTGCTCGTGGGGCAGGAGTTGTGCTGGTGGTGGGTCCCTGTGGTCAGTGGGAGCCTGTGGTCCTAAAAGCCCCACAGCTGAAATGCTTTTGCTTGCCCAGCTGCTTTCTGGAAGTAATTCTGGCTGCTGGCTCTCACCTCCCCAGCTTTTTAGCTCTTTTATTTTCAAGCTTTTCCTCTTATAAACAGTCTCTTATCCCTTCTTTGGCAATATATTGTCCTGCTGTGTCTGCCATGGATATGCTTGTGCTTCCAAAATAAATAATTGGAAAAAAATGTATCCACTTGACCATCGCCTTGACTCCAGTGTGGGTTTGAGCTGCTTGGAAATGCCTGTTGAAAACAGAGAAATGGTGCCAAGGTGATTTTTGTGGCTCCTGCCTCCTGAAGTGTGTGAGGCTGCCCAAACCCAAGTGAATGAGGCGTGGGTGCAGCATGGTCCAGGGACTGGATTGGCTTGGAGAATGTCTGCCATCTGCCAGGGATGGGGCCTCCACAGCTTATCTGAGCAACCTGTTCCAATGCCTCAACACTCTCACAGCTAAGAATTTTTTCCTAATGTCTAATCTGAACCTCTCTTTCAGTTTAAAGTCCTTTTCCCTTGTCCTGTCACTCCACATTCTTGTAAGAAATTCCTCTCCAGCTCTCCCGTGGGCCCCTTTAGGCACAGGAAGGTGCTGTAAGTTCTCCCCAGAGCCTTTTCTTCTCCAGTCTGAATAACCCTGGTTCTCTCAGCCTGTCTTCATAGAGGTGTTCCAGCCCTCCAGGAGTTTGCACCCTTTTGTTTAAAACATAGCCAGTCACAGGTCCTGACTGACACTTGGAGCTGCCTTGCTTTTGCCAGATACAATGACGGGCAGAGCTCCAGAGGCCTTGTCTCGGCACAAGGCACAACATTGAGATATCCCAAGTTATGGGTTCAGTGTGCTACCAGAAGAGGAACCAGTGATGGTGCCCAGAGTAGGGTCTGAAAAATAAAACCTCTTAGGAACTGGAAAAGTGTCCACATCTAGACAGGAATTTGCTCTGGTCATCCTGTACCTCAGTGCTGCAGATATGGCAACCTCTGGGTGGGGAGTGAGCTCTTGCTCTGATTTGCTTCTGAAAGGACTGCAGCTAATTTCTGGCACAAATCATGGCACCAGCCATAACCCTGCTGCCACAGTATTCCACAAGCACACAAACAGAGGGGCTGCTTCCCTAAAGCAAGCCGTACCGAGGGCTCTGCCTGCAGTGACACTCCAGCATCATTCCTCCTTTCTGTCCCCGCAGGCCCAGCGCCCGTGGCGGAGGACGGGGATGAAGCCCCCAGCCCCAGCGGCTGTCGGGGTGCTGCTGGCCCTGGCCCTGCTGGCTCTCATCCACCTGCCCCCACCCCCGGACCACTCCCTGCTCCCGCTGCCGGCCTCGTCCCCGCCAGGGCCTCCGAGGGAGGCGGCTGCCGCCCTGTCTGGAGGACAAGCCCACAGAAGAAGGCTCCCCTTGCCCCGCACTCACCTGCAGCAGGAGCAGCCCCCTGGCCGGGGCAGGAGGCTGGAGAGGGACACTCCCCCTTGGCTCTCTGCTGACGACCTCCAGAAGATGTGGCTGCTGTCCAGCGGGCAGGTGATCTCCAAAACCCGTGTCCCTGCCCACGGGCAGATCATGCGAGTGAGGCTGCGTGCTGTGGGGGATGCCACGGGAGATGCCAAGGAGGACGTCTTGGCAGCCAGCCCGGAAGGAGACTGCCAGGATGGGCGCTGTGGGCTCATCAAGCGCCCCGGGGACCTGTACGAGGTGCTGGCCTTCCACCTGGACAGGGTGCTGGGGCTGAACCGCAGCCTGCCCGCCGTGGCCCGGCGCTTCACCAGCCGCCTCCTGCCCTACAGCTACACAGACGGCGCCCTGCGCCCCATCATCTGGTGGGCTCCTGACCTCCAGCACCTGGAGGATGCCAACAATGACCAGAACTCCTGTGCCCTGGGGTGGCTGCAGTACCAGGAGATGCTGCAGCCGCACAGACCGATGCCGGTGGCCAGGGATGCTCCCTGCTCCAGCATCCCACACAGCGAGTGGAGCCGCCTGGCCCTCTTTGACTTCCTTCTCCAGGTAGGGCTGTGGTGATTGAGGCGACCTGTCCCATCAGCTGTGGCACCCGGATTCCCTTGCACCTGCACCTTTATTGTCTGACCATGGTCTCCTGCTCTGCGGGGTCACATCAGGTGTGGTTTCTTGGGATGTGTTTTCACTCTTCAACTGATGGCCACGCAGATGATGCGGTGGCCATGCAGAACTTCATGCAGAAGCACTTTGGCCTGAGTATGGTCCATGTTTGGGACTCACAGGCAGGTTGTAGGAGTCTGTCCTCGCGTGGGCAAGCTTTCTGCTGTTCATTTTGTGCTGGCAGAGGCTTGGGACATCCCTAGAGACATCCCTAGGGCATCCCTAGGGATAAGCAGCATGTCTTGCACCAGCCCCATCACATCCAAACTCAGGGATGTGCTGCTGGCATTGGAAATAAGGAGCCGTGCCTTGGACAGCGCTGCCTTCCTCCTCCTCGGCATTAATAGCACTTAATCTTCTGTCTGGAAAATCATACCCTGCCACTACAAGGGATTACAACAGTATCCCAGAGAGTTATCAGGTCTTGGAGGGCAGCTGTGAGGAGGCAAAAGTGATTTCTGTGGAGAAAAAGAAAGCCTGTTTAGGCACCTGGGGGCTGGTTATCAGACAAGAGAAAACTGCCTGAAAGGACAAGTATTAATACAAAAAAAAAACAAAACCCAAACCACTAAAATATGTTTTCCTTATTTCTCTTTTTTTTACAACTATGGCTGGCAGAGGTGGAGCTGTTCTGTCTGGGCTTGAAAATATTTTAGCTGAAACAACCAGAGAAATGAGAAGATTAACCAATCCCCTTCCCTTCCCCCGACCAAAGTACTGCTGAGTGCAGTGGAAAGGCTGAGACTGCAGGAGAAAGTATCTAGTTCTAAGGAGAGTTCCTCCTCAAGGGCTGAAGCAGTGCAATGATAAATTCAAGGGCAATCCACAGGTTCTCCTCAATAATTCTAATGGAATCCTTCCATGCAGAACAAGTCACATAAAGGTAAAGAGGATATTATAGAAGTGGAGTAGCATCTTCCAGAAGTGGTTTTAGAATCTCCCACCCTTGCTGGGGAAGGAGAAGTTGATGAGATTTGAGCCCTGTTGTACCCTGGCATTGAAATATTGGTAGTTTTCTTCAATTTCCCTTAAAATTTGGCTTCTTCTGTATTAATTTCTCCTGGTATTTGCCACAGGGGAACCCCCCCACAACGTGCAAAGTTTTAGTGGGGGCAAAATGCCAAGCCTGGTAGAAAAGGGACAGCTGCTGATGGCTTTGTCCTGCACTTAAAGACGGCCAAAACCAAATCAACTCTGCGGCCACATCCCTGACCTGGGACACCCTCTTCCCAGCCAGGGGGAGAGCAAGGAAAATTTCCCCAGGGGAAGCCATCCCAGGCTGAATCATAACTGGAAAAACCTATCAGATGCAAGGGAATGCCCCAGGATGGGCATAAGAGGGGCTGAAGGTGAGCTTCTAGTAATGTTTGAGCTTGGATGGGAGAAAGTGTGACTCATGTATTTGTCTTCTAGCAATAACACCAAAATTCCCATGAATTAGAGCTGTTTAGGCTCTGGAAAGGAGAAATTAATACCAAAAAATCAGGGGAGGGCCAGGGGAGGGAGGGCTTGTCAGCATGTCAGGGCACTCTCAGCATCTCCACAGCCATCTGGTCCCTCTCCTGGGGCTCCACTTGGACACCAGAGCTGGCTCCACCTCACACCTCTGTGGGTTCATACCAATCCACCTTGGTTTCACAGGTGCTCGTGGGTGGGTGAGTGGAGCGCTGAGCCTATTTAATGTCTCTGTAAGTTCTCTCAGGTTGTCTTCACCTTCTGTGCAGCCTGCAAAACAACATAGCAGGTGAGAGAAACTGATGTGCTGAGCTCTCCAGTAGGCAGGCCGAGGAGATGCGAGGAGGAAATGTGATATTTTCTTCTGTTGCCATGTGTTTTGTGACAAGATGCTTGAGCACTTTTTCACTGGAGTGTCTCCCAAAGGAGAAATACTGACCTGAGTTCTTCATTAAACCTCAGAAAACAGAGAGGTTTAAGAGGCTCCGGAGTGGGACTAATCCATCTTCTCAAAGGGTTATGAATGGAATGGCCATGGAGATCACAATTTGTGTTTCCCTGTAGCATCTTCTCCAGTGCTTGGTCAGTGTTTGGGTTCAGAGTGAACTCTGTGTCAAAGCACAGTCTGTAATTGGTAACTCGTGCTAATTACCAGGGCAAGGGGACTAGGCAGCCTCTGTGGGTCACTCAGCTTCTGTCTTCTTGTCACATGTAGATCCCTTCTGGATCGCCTGAGACCTGCTCCAGCCCTCCCAGTGACTCCAGGAGCCTCTCTGCACCCTGGCCCCTGCCTCCTGGGCTGGCACCAGCAATGCCAAGCAAATCAGCGAGTCAGGCATTTTCATGCTGCAACCAGAAAACATATTTATTTTGTATTTTATATATATATATATATATATATATATATATATATATATATAATATATTTTATATATATTTAAAGGAACGTATATATATACATAGGGTTTTTTTATAAACAGGCCTTGAGATTGGGAGGAGCTGAGGCAGCTCCCCTACAGGGTCATGTCAGCACACAGCCATGGGGAAGTCTGTTGACAGCCAAGGTCCTGTCTGCCCTACAAATCCCCGCAGGATGTACCAGCCGCTTCTGACACAGCTGAGGAAACTCCATAAATACTGAGGCCAGGTCTGGCAGAGATTTATATCTTTTAAAAGCCCTTCATTCCTCCAAGGGTGTGGTTGAAGCACGAAGTTGTCAAGCAGCTCCAGGGTTTCTGCAGGGAACTGGGATGGGAAGTAGGAGGTTTGACAGCCTGGACACCATGAAGCCTTAGCAGCACCTGCAAATGATTAAACACAAATGTAGCTGAAACAAGTTACCGTGGCCCAACTTAAATGTCAGGCATGCTCTGCGTATGCACAGACTGCTTTTTCCCTTGCCAATACTTTTCCTTTCATCTTTCCATTGAGAGCTGCTCAGGTTACCGTAGGGATGGAGGAAAGGTTACATATGTGACAGGAACCAGATGAAACCATCATACAGAGCACCAAGACATGGAAAAATAAATTATTTTTGAGGTTTCAGACTCTAGGTTTCCTTGGGTGCTTTGTTGGTTTTTTTAATTCATTCATCATCGTGTACATCCTCCCTTCATTTCAGTTGGAAGCACAACCCTTTCAGTCTGTGCAGATACAGAATGTGGAAGTACCAGGTGTCTGAACTCCATCAGAAAAGTCTGTCACCATCACCTTTCTCACACCTTCTTCATGCCAAAGGGGTTCTGCATGTGTCCCATCACCTTTCTCACTCCTTCTTCATGCCAAAGGGGTTCTGCATGTGTCCTTCCATTCCTCTCACTCACCAGTGTGTGCAGCTTTTCCATTGCATGTCTCCTGAGGATCCCTAGAAATGTTTCATTTTCCTCTGTACAAGAACAGCTCACAACAGGACCTCCCCCTTCCAGGCACATGTCCCTGTTAAGGTCCCCAAATGTCTCTTGCAGGTTCATGACCGCCTGGACCGCTACTGCTGTGGGTTTCAGCCTGATCCCTCTGAGCCCTGCGTGGAGGAGATGCTCCACGAGAAATGCCGGAATCCAGCAGAGCTGGTCCTGGTCCACATCCTGGTATGTCTCCCTGCTGTCCAAGGGCTGCTCTGGGGATAACATGGAGGTGGCTGGGAGGCACTTGCAAGGGCTGAGGTGGTAGCAAAGGGAATGTAGGTCCCATGGTGATGCTGGGTCCCTGTATCCCATACCTGGGAGTTATGGTCAGGCATGGAGGGACATAGACATTGGCATCTGCGTTCCCCCAAATACTCTCAGGGTTTGTCACTGCATTAAAAAGCAGCCTAACCCCCACACTGGCACTGGTGTCTCTGCACTGAGTGAACTTCCCCTTGCCATCCTGCTGGCAGGTCCGGAGGAGCGCGCCATCCCGCCTGGTGTTCATCGACAACGCGGGCAGGCCACAGCACCCTGAGGAGAAGCTCAACTTCAGGCTCCTGCAAGGCATAGACAGGTAGGAATGTGCACGTGCTGAGCAAGGGCTGAGCTGGCACACAGAGGATGTCCAGCAGCAGTGCTCACCTTCTTGCTGCTTCTGGCCTCCCTGGTGGGGTGTCCATCTGAATGGGGATGGATGTTCTGGATGTCCCCAGAACAGGGTGGGTGGCTAGGCTCTCAAAAACATCCCACGTGCCCCTGCCCTGAAACTAACTCTTTATTCTGCTCTGGGTGGCTGATGGCAGGCTCCAAAGCCTATTTCTCCTCTCTAATTGGCAGCTGCACAAAAATAATGAATAATCAGGTATTTCAGCATTTCTTGCACCATTGCCCATGAGGCATTTTGGCATGCTAGAGGCCTCTTGATTTGGAATTTGTTTGGGTCAGTGTCTGATGGAGCTATCCTGCATGATCACCATGGGTAGAGTTTTAAGCAGAAGGCTCCTTGTCCTGCGTTCCTCTGGGTAGACGAGCATTTCCTCTTGAAGCATCGTGGCTCGAGTGCCCCGCTGTTCCCTCCCTCCCTGCTCAGCCTTCCCTGGATAACCCCTTCCCTCCCTGTCTCTTCTGCTCCCCCCCTGCAGCTTCCCAGCGGCGGCGGTGGCCACGCTGCGCTCGGGCAGATTGCAGAGCCTGCTGCTGCAGTCCCTGCGCCTGGACCGGGAGCTCTGGGAGAGCCAGGGGGGCGCCGAGGGGCTGAGACCCCTGCTCCGGACCATTGACAGGCGAGCACAAATCCTGCTCCGCCACATCCAGGAGCACGACCTGACGGTGTTTGAGGACTCGCCGCACTGAACTGACCTCCAGCTGGATCAAAGTGCACATCCCAGCAGCTGTGGATGTACCTCATGCCCTTGGCATGGACCTTATGAGGCTTTGTGCCGGTGCTGGGCTCTCCACAAGGTGTTTCCCCTCACCCTGTAGGATGACCTGGAGTAGCAGATGAAACCACAGGGAGTAGGAAAGATGGAGAGGAGATGTCTCCTAAGACAAGCCACAACTGCTTGAGAAAGGCAACAGTCATCAAGTTATGGTCTCAGCATGGATTTTCAAAGGGAGGGCACATCCGTGAGGTTTTTTGGGTGCCTTTACTCGCACATAAACACACACACAGCAGCTATAGAAACTGGAGTTCAACTAGGCAGTTGAACACCTCACAGGGACCCTGGAAAGAGTTAAAAAAGCAGTGGAAGAAGTCACTGGCAGCCTTTCCATGGCTTTTTGATGATGTCTTCGCTATTTCCTAAACATGCCAGACAGAGAGGCAGGAGGAAAGCAGTGGGGAGCTTTCTAAGTGGATTAAACAAAGACAAGACACTAGAGCTGAGCTCTGCCTTTCCCCCTGCAGAAGAGGTGATGTGTGCCTGCGAGTGAGCATGAGCCACTGCCTGAAGCTGAGACTAGGCAGGACCTTGAAGCTCAGCAGCACTGGGCAGCAGCTGCCCTCACAAAGCCCATGGTACCATCCCCAGTGAGAGCCACTGCTCTGTGCCATGTGCCATGGTCCATGCATGTGTCTTGGTGGGTCTGGGCTGCTGACAATGCTCTCAATGTCAGATTTGAAGATTTAAATCTCTCATTTGCTCTTTGCCTTCACTGTCAGGGGATTAAAGGCAAAACTACCCCGCTTCTGAAAAGCACTCCTGGCTGCTCTCCTGGGCATGACTGCATGTAACTCTTCCCCAGGCTTGCAGAAATATGTTTTAACAAAAATGCCAAGCTATTTTAGCAGAAGGCAGTCGAGTGCAAAATGCTTTCTGAACATGCTGGCACCTCCAGCAGAGCCCATCCTGTTCCTGTCACCCCTCAGGCTCTGTCCCAGCAGCCCATTCTGATGAAGCACAGCAGCATCGCAGCTAGGCAGGTCCTCAAGTGTCAGGGCTGAGAGATAATTCAAAATCAGAATGAACAGGAGGAAAAGATATGCAGGGATGGGCTCCATCATTCCCTGCAGTGTGCTTCCCAGCTGAGGCATGCAGTCAGTGTTTGCCTGGAGCACTCAGTTCCTGGCCTGTGGGTTTATGGTTTGCCACCAGAAGACTTTTTAAAGGCCTCCATTTCTCCAGTGTTACAGGCAGAGTGTCCATTGCTTCAGGCACTCCAATTCCACTTCAAGCCTTTGGAAATTCTCAGTGAGACTGGCATTGTCACTCAGCTGCACTACGGTACAACTGCCCCATTGCAATAGTTTTGGAGAACATGGCCACCCATGCAGTGGGAGAGGAAAAGCTGGGTATGGATACCTTCCCTGCTCCATCCTTCTCAGCATTATGTCTGTTTGGGAGCCTGCAAGGGGATGCTTTAACACCCATGCTGATAAGCACAGACAATTACCTTTTTTCCCCTTTTCCCTCTTGCTGAAGAGAGGGTGAAGCGGGTCGTGGGTGACATGAATAAACAGGCAGGCACAAGTGCTCTCAGGAAGCATCAGCACTCAGCTTCACAGGCACAGCAGTATCCAAAGTGCCATCAGCTTGTTCCTGGAGTCCTGCCCTCCAATTAGCCAGGGAGGCCCTTTCCCCCAGCACTCTCTCCACCCAAATAGGGTGAATTATCACCCTATTTGCTGTGCTGTGAGATGGATGACGGTCATGGAAACCCGGCTAAAGCCTGAATCATGAGGATTTATTACTGGGAGGTGAGCTTAGCTTGTGAGCTTGAAAGAGAACGAAATAACTCATCCTGGCTCCTATGAAAAGCCATACCCAGGCATGGCTGTGTAGGATTAAAGGATACTAAATGTAACAAAATTAAATCCAAAAAATATGCTTGGAAAAACAGGTAACAAGAGCATTAGTTACGATGTACAGCATAAGTCAGAGTCTTGCTTTTTTCTCAATGAAGTGAGAAGTTTCATCAAAGGAGAGGTTTTCATTCCATGTGAGCCAAGTTCTCACCGAGAATCAAGAGACAGGTGGGGCTCTGTGCAGTGGCCAAAGCTGTGGACATTGCTGAGCTGGACCAGAGCTTTTGCCTTGCCTCTGGTTGCATCTGCTCTACCTTAACATTGCCCAAGATAGTGGGGATTTTTGCATTTCTCTAGCTGTAATGTGAGTTTGCTGGCTAAACACATGTGGGAACATCTGTAAGCAGTTATACATGTGAATAAAAATCCCTCGTGATTTAACAAAGAGCCATGTATGGATAAATGAGAGAAGCAAAAGCCAAGATCTTGCTGAGACTGATCATTAATCTTCTTTAATTAGTCCATTTTTCCATGGGCTTGCCTATGTAACCAGCACAGGCTCTGAACTGCAGTCATAGCTGTTCAGAGGGATCCTGTGGCCTGCTTGCATCAGCCTTTACCCTGTCGTGTTGGGTTTGCTCCAGCTATCAGCATGTCATATTTCCTATGACAAACTTACTGTTATGGTTGTAACTTCTTTATAGTTGGAAATATTCCTGTGGGGCCATGCTTGACAAACTAGATTTCATCTGAGCAGGGATGCTGTTTTACTGAATTTTACTGCACGTCATCACAGATCGTGTTGGGGTGGGGTCACAAAAAAAGGTGGCTGCAGGATGGCTTTGTCTCTAAGAAGGCAGCAGCAGCTCAGCAAGGGAAAAGCCAGTGGAGAGACAAGAGCTCCTTGGCAGGGGGGATCCCTGAAACACCCTCCTGCTCACCTGTGGCACCTTGGAATGTGCTTTGAGAACTGCATTTGGGAGCACGGGCACACACCTCCGCGGAGCTCCAGCGGGAGGGAACTGCTTCATTCCACAGTGATCCGAGTGACACGATCCGTGTTTCACAGCTCTCTGGCTGTGCACACCTCTCAGCTGGCAGAAAATAGGGCTGGGGGTGGGCAGGCAGGGCCAGACTGGCTCCAACCTGCCGAGCACACGCGCTCACACGTGCAAACACGCACCGTGTCACTGCTCCTGTTCAGCCTGATCTTCGCGCCCAAAGCTGGTGATCCCTGGCACCCCCCGCAGCCTGCTCCAGTGCTTTGCTGGCCTCACCCTCTGTAAACGAAATGCCCATTTGCTGCACTTCAGGGCCATTTCTTGAGCTGGACACAGGACACTAAGTAGGCTTTTCTGCAGCCCCGTATGGGCCTCGCAGAGCAGCCCCAGCACTCGCTGAACCCACCCAGTGGCCAGGGTGACACCATTGGGGTGGCACTTGGGGGTGAGATGATAAGCCATCCTTGTGCTTCCTTCCCCTTAAGGGTGGGTTGTCACAGGTGACACTCAGAGACCCCACAGGGTGCTCTGCTAAACCCACCCAAGCATCCCCGTGCTGCATAGGGGAAGTGTGGGCTGACTGCTGCCTGAAAGGCACCAGCTAGCAAGTAAATCCAAATTCATTGTTAAATCTCTGTATATAAAAATAATCTGGCTTTTAGAAAGCAATTTATTTATTCTTTCAGTACTTACTTAAATATTTATGCGAAAAAGGGGAAAAAAAAATCTGCTCTGACATAGGATTATTGTTGTAGCAACGGTCTTTGAGATTAATGGAAGTAAATTAGCCTGATGTTTTATTTACATCCAGAAAAGCAATAGATAAACTCTCCTTGTGATGGATTTTCTTCATTAGCTGGGCGAACGCCTAAGGTACAGCTCTTGACATTGTTTCTTCCATGCGGTTAGACAAACAGTTTATCAAAAGAGTATAAAATTGTCAGGAAAAGAAGCAGATTAATGGCCAGTAAAGTGAAGATCATTAAATTTATGATATAAGTAGCAGAATCACTGGAGCTCAAGAAATGGCTTATTAGATAAGCACCATGTACACACACAGGGAAGTGCTGAGCCCCCCCGGATCTGCCGCATTGTCAGCGGCTGCTTCCCAAATCCCAGTGGGGTGGTGTCCACACTGAAGCTTCACCTCCCTCCTCCTTCCCTCCCTTTAGGTTTGGGTTTATTCTGTAACTCATACAATTTCCTCTCAATTAAAACCCCTTAAGATTTCAGAAACAATAACTTTTTCTTCATGTCCGTGCTGATGCAACCATTTCTGCAACTTATTTTGGCAATTGTGTCTGCTTTTTACACCAAGGATGATCATGCCAATATCAGCAACAATGATGTACAGGTCTTATGATTATTTGCAAAAAATCCCCCAGCATTAGCAGCTCATGGATCCCATATGGCTCCTGCAGCAATTACCGCTGAAAGGATAATTACCTGCCAGATAAGGCAAATGGAAGAAAGTAGAGAAAGTAAGAAAGAAACCTGGGAGAAACCAAACATTCCTGGGGATGGCAGAGGGGCTGTGTTTGTGGGTTCCTGAGATCTCTGCCCTGCCAGACATGGGCTCAGATTTTCAAGCTTCAGAAGGGGGATTTTGGGTACATTGACCTCTAAAAACCATGAGTTTAACTGGTGCCATGAATCTTGGTGTCCGAGTGCTGTCTCCAGCAGGTGGCATTGGCTCCACAGGCTGTCTTTTCCCAGGGCTTGCCAAGAGCGTCTTAAAAGTCTCATCTCTGGACTGGCAGATTTCAAGCTGCTAAAGCATCATTAAGTCCCTAATTCCTTTGCAGCCTAATCTGCCCAGCTGTACTTTATATCTCTTCACCAGCACCACTTTCCCCCCACCCCCTGCCCCGCCGCCCCTTCCCACTACTCTCTTTCCTACAAAAATCTATCTTTTTGGAAGCAGACCATTGCTCCTTGTTACGAGCAAGACAGAGCAAGCGGCTGCTTGAAGAATGAAATGCCACAGCACCCAGGGCTCTTCCCACCCTAGTGTGGACCTAAATGTGGACCCAGGTGCACAGCAGCCACAGGATTTTTGGACTGAAGATCTCAAATGGTGGTCATGTGCAGGAGTTTTTCCCTAGAGC